AGCTTGAGGCTCTGTCTCAAAAAAAAAAAAAAAAAGAAAAGAAAACTAAAAGTGTCTACTTTGCCAGTAGATTGCCTTAGAGATACTATTTCATTTTCAATATTATAAGGAATGCCAAAGATAATTCCCTCTCAATTTCCAAACATAAGGAATCAGAATTTTTTAAAAGAAAAACTTGCTCTGGGTCCCACAGCCTTAGATGTCTCTCACCCAGTACAGCTTCAAAGCATGTACTCTTAACTCCTAAACTATAAAACGATAATACTCTCAAATCCATCCCTGGAGCCACCTCAGTGTAGAAGGATGGTCAACTGTGGTCCTGTCTCTTCTTTTCAGATTGAAAGAAAGGAAACAAAACCATGCCGTGAATTTTTACTTCATATGCTTTTGTATCTCTTGACATTTTATCGCTTCTCTGTGGCTCTGTGTTTGCATCGTAAGGTAAAGAAAATAAAGACTCCAATACAAAACAAGCGATGAGTCTTTCTATCACAATGGCTTGCAACATACCATGTGTGTCAAGAACTTTTCTCATAGTCACTGTCATGTTCAATAGAAAAAGAAGAAGCATTGGATGGCACCTGTGGCTCAAAGGAGTAAGGGTGCTGGCCCATATACTGGACGTGGCGGGTTCAAACCCAGCCCTGGCTAAAAACTGCAAAAAAAAGGAAAGAAAGAAAAAGAAGAAGTGTTATTTCTAGTTCATTTCCTTCCATTGCCAAGCAGTCCAGAGACAGTATTAAAACATTAGGATAGTCTTTTCCACAACAAATAGGTTGGTTGTTCCAGTTTGGAAGAAGATATTTTTTCCTGGTGGTTTATATAATTTACCCAGAGGGAAACAGGAGCTATTTTTAAGTGAATTATTTTATTGGATCTACTTAAAATTCATCTATTTTTAGGGCAGCTCTAGCTTTAGAGCTTGGCAAAAGCATTAGAATTCAAATCCCATTTCATAGGTAGTAAAATTGTGTGTCTTGGGTCTATTATATTATCCCGCTAAGCTACCTCCTTATTTGTAAAATAAGGCTCCTGAGGTGATGAAATGAGATACCTATGAAACTACTTAGTAGTATAATGGGCACGTATTAGCTGATCAAAACCATTTGTTAGGCCTGGAGCGGGGGCTCACACCTGTCATCCTAGTACTCTGGGAGGCTGAGGTGGGAGGATCATTTGAGGTCAAGAACTCAAGACCAACCTGAGTAAGAGAATAAAAGGAAGACTCCATCTCTACAAAAAAAAAAAGAAAGAAAAAAACATTAGCTGGACTACATTCACCTGTAGTCCCAGCTACTGGGACACTGAGACAGAAGGATCACTGGAGCCCAGGAGCTGGCGGTTACGGTGAGCTATGATGATGCCACTCCACTTTAGCTGGAGTGATAGAGCAAGACTCTGTCTCAAAAAAAAAATCAAATAATGAG